ATGACCCACAGTCAAGTAGCAGTACAGAGACCAGCCGCTCCATCACCGTTGGCTGCAACTCGACGAATCTGACGTTTACGGTATCGGCTCTCTCGCAAAATCAGCACTCTCGACCGCATCCCAATCGTTGTCGAGATATCTGATATCGAACATGGCGTGTGACAGGTCCAGACTGGGGGGCGGGTTCATTACACTTCAACAGGGATCCTCACGGGCTCCGTCAGATGGGGCCTCACTGTTCGCATCCGAACTCGCCAATAGCCGGTACCTGCATCAAGGGGAAGAAATCCTACAGCGAGAGAAGGTAGTCCAGCGGACCTATGTCGTATCCAAATTTGGAAAGATATTTCCACCTGTGCATTTCACGAGGCCCGCCAAGCATAACCGTCGAGGACGCGTACTTGGCCTCGACCAGCGAGGACGGCAGTACCAATAAGAGTACACTCAGGACCAAGGATAACAGTGACGCACGACTCCGGCGGCCCATCGAATTGGAAATGTAACTGAAAGATTCCCCGAGGTCACTCGCCCAAGATACAAAACAGGCCCAAAAGCATCTCGACCGCGCCTCGACGATCCACGTCAACCCACAGCTCCTAATTAATAGCTCGCATGTTGGACGAAGCGCATTCACTAGCCCAACTTCTCGGAACCGTTTCGGGTCCGGGCAGACCTCCCTAGAACACCATTTTTGGGTTCGTGGCAGTAGTGCTGAACACCTGGCATCGTTGAACAGAAAAACTTTCAACATGACCAAACCCGAGGGAAGCTAATAACTGGCAAGTTGGTAGATGCTTGAATGAGTTCGAACAGTGTAAAAATACCGCTTCGGACGCTTTGACCCATTTTATGGACGTTTTTACCCACCCATAATCGTTGTAAGGAACAGGTGCTGCCTGGTCTAGGATGAATACTGACCACTCGTTGGCCCTGTAGTGGACAACTTGAGTGCCGTAAGCAACACACAGTGATAGTGAACAACGACACACTTCTGGAGCTCCAGCCTATGCTCGCCAATCTGAACAGGCTGGGAACATGAGCAAAAAGGAATGGAGTATCTTGAGGTTGGCATTGAAAGATACAAAATAGGTCAAAATGTGGCGTTCAGTGGACTGTTGAGTTTTCTTCCTCTGAGTGGATTCCCACAGTCTCTTCAAAGGCTTATCATCACAGCTTCGTCGTCCTAATCACCAAACGCCATGAACATTTTTCGGTTTTGCGGGGACATGCTCCACTTGTTGAGCATCCTTCTCCTCGTCCTCAAACTGCAGAAGTCGAAGAGCTGTATTGGTGAGTGGGCCGTATCTTAGGTTCCTCTAGGTAAGATTCAAATCAGGTATATCGTGTAAGATGCAAGAGATGTACGCCATGGTCTTCATCTTCCGATACATCGACCTCCTCTGGCTCTACGTGAGCCTTTATAATAGTGGTACTAACTGGGGAGAGGCTCAGCAGCCGGGAGGATCATTCCTTGCTAGTGATGAAATTGGTCTTCATTACTCTTACATTGCATCTGGTTTACACTATGAAATTCAAACGAGGACCTGTTAAACAGACGTATGATGCTGCTGCTGATAACTTCAACTATGTCAAGTAAGGGCGCCTCCCTCTGCCCTATCGTGGTCATCACCATCATCAGGTGGCTGCTTCCTCCGTGTTTCATCCTTACTCTCATCACTACTGCTGACTACTCTATTGCTGAGGTAGTAGCCCTCCGTACATGGTATCGTCAGTTTAGCTACAGATACTATGGACCATGTCGATTTGGATTGAGGCAGTTGCCATTTTGCCGCAATTGTCACTGTTGCAGCGCCAGAGGGAGGTATGGCTCGGCTCGAAAAAA